GAGGAGTGAAGGAAATGGACCCATCCTGTCATTCATATGCAAGTGGTGGGAGTGCTGTGATGATGCAGCCWCTGGAAAAGGACAAGCCTTTAAAATACAAAGCTGATTGCTTTAGAGGTAGAGCACTGCTCTCTTGTCTTCTCTTTCCTCCCTCAACAAACATTACTTGATTATGCTATTGTAAAAAGAGTTAGTTAGTATTATCTGGATGTGATTACTGATGAAAGGCAATTAAAAAGGTCATCTTTCCTTAAAAGGAAGAAAAGATCGAAGCTAGAAAATGGGGAAAGTGGAAGGCTGGAGAGTTATCCAGTATCAGTGTAGTAAAAAGTAAAAAGTAAAAAAAAAAAAAAAAGAGAGAGAAAAAAAAAATCCTTATCTGAACCCAATTATCAACCTTGCCTGACTTCCCCAGAGATTTAACAGTTGGGTCTCTTTCAGAACTCAGCTATGACCTCAGATGCTTTGCATTTGAAAGTAAGGAAGTTAATAAGTAATATAAGGATTTTCAAATTAAAGCCTGAGGGGAAGTCTGATTTAGAATAGCAGTACATCGGGGCTATAATCTGTGGATTAAATGTTGGTCTTCTCTAAACTGGGATGAAAACAACACATCAATATGTCTGATACAAACATGTTTAAGCACTGATGTTGCTACCTGGGTTCTTGCATACTTTTCTCTGTCCTTTATGGACAGAAGAATTTTTTCAGAGTCATATTATCCAATTTCTGTTAGACTAATCTGCTATATATAAAAGAGAATTGTAGTTCTCAGGAAAAAGCAAGCAAATGAACAAACCCTATTTATCAAAATAATCTAGAAACTGGAGAAGATGTCCCAAAATTCAGGTAGTGCTAGTACTGCAGGCAGTGTGGCTCTCCCTCAGAGTGCAAAGGGATTTGAAGTAAATCTCTTGGTGTTTGGATTAAATTGGACAATATCCTTATGTGTCTCAACAACAGTTGCTGGGATTATAGCTACACAATTATCAATCCCACCTGTCAGGCTTTCCCCTACTCCCTAAAATAAGGGTCTCATAAATATTTATTAATATTTGCATTATTTTAATTTCTTAGGTAACCAAGGATTTATTTCAATGTATTCACTTGTAGGAAAAGAGAATCTTGTTATTTGTAAATGAARGGCAAGAATTTTCAGGGATTAATTGGGAGGAAATACTGAATGGGGTAAAATTATGACATCTGTCCAAATTGCTACCTGGGTCACATGTATTAGGACATGATACTGGTCTAGAAAATTCATGCTCAAGTCTCAGCACATTAACAATCTGATGATAATGTAGAATGTGTATTTGTTGCTTTGCATGGCTATTGCTGTGTGTTAGTGCTGGAGTGTTGAGGCTGTTAGAGCTAGTGCTGCTAAATCACATTACACAGGCTACTTTTGCAGTGTCTTTATAAGAGATCAGTTTTGCTTATTAAATTAGTGGATCTGGTTTCTACTTGATACAAAGCTGTTCCGCAGCTTTGGTGGGAATTAGATGAGATTATTCATCTGATGTGCTTTATCAGAAAAGATTGAAATTACTTGTTTTAGAAAATAGCTGAAAATAGTGTCTTAYAGAAGTCATCATGTGTTTTGTTAATGATTCCTTTGGTTTCAGCCTCCTTTCTTCATGTAAAGATTTGTTTGTAGGCCTCTAGGCCTGAATGGAGAAAAGGAWGTCATTCCAGCTGTTTTCCTTGTGTTGGCACTCTCTGCTGAACAGGAATTGCTGAACAAAGAACATCATTTCCCAAGAGGGTTTGCTGGGGTAACACAAAGGCAGTCTGGATTTTTTTTTAATTAAAATTTCCTGCCAAATACTATCATCAAGGTCTGGGGGAGGAAGAGAGTAAAGAAAATACATAAGGTCTGGAGTCTCCTTGCAAGAGTGAGAGACCTGCCTGAGAAAGCAAAAGAACAGTGTTTTTCTCTGCTGAACTCTTGTTTTCCGACATATAACCACATGGCCAGAAAAAAAAAAAAACTTTTTAAAAATTTTTTTAATCCTTTCTTGTTAATCTTGGTTCTGCCTATTGCTTCTCCAAGTAAATTGGAGGGATTGTGCAACTTTGCACTTGGTTTTGGACTAACTAGTGGAACAAAAAATAAGCTGAATTCCTTTTCTTAAGTGGGTGCCAAATTATCAACCGACACATCATGCTATGTAATGGGAATAAATGCATGTCTGGTCATGGCTTGCAGTGAGCTTAAGTTCTCTTTAAATACATAAACAAACAGAAAACAGCAATAACTCCTTTACTTTCCATTTACTTTGCAAAAGAAAGGTTAAGAAAACAAGCCATAAAGAGTAACTGGCAAGTATGTGGGGGAAGAAGAAAATACAGAGCCATTTCACCCCTTACTAGGAGTTTAATCCAGGGTGAATCTGCAATGACTGAAAYGCAGCCATGCGGTTAGATGGGAAGTGCCTCCGGTGGTTTATCCCACTCCTCAAAGCACTGGTGACCACTTTACAAACTCCCCCATTTATCTGACACTTTCTGGTATTCTCGTTGACTGCATTACTAGAGAACTGCACTTTCAATAGTTCCCTCTAGCAAGGCAGATCCAGGTAATAAGGACTTTGTGCAGCAAAGACTGCATGTTCCAACTCATAGCTGGAGGATGCTACAGAATCCCTCTTGCTGGATTCAGCAGTGTAGAAAGCAGCTTGGCCCATAGCAAAACTGACACATTGCCCATCTAGTGCAGATACGGCTCCTGGCAGGGCAGCTGTGGACAAACGAGAAGTAACTTTTATAGGAAAAATTTCTCCATGGATCCTGTCAGTGTTCAGTTTGTAAGCAGAGGTGAAAGAGTTTAATATTGCTTTGAATTTTTTTTTTTTTTTTTTNTTTTTTTTTTTTTTTTTTTTTTTTTTTTTTTAGTATTCTTTAGCATAACTGCAGAGTTTTTAATTGTCTATTCTAGGTTTTTATTTTCCTTTCCAGTTTGTCTCCCTGAGCACAATTAATTTGTTGTTTATATTACTCTCTTTAAAGAAGTATCTTCCCTCCTGTTTACTGGTGTGCTTGCAACTGATGCTTGGGGGAAAATCAAACAAAGAAAAGCCAGTAGGCTTCTGCTTGAATATATTTCATTTTTTACTGAGGAAAAAGTGTGTTTGACTTCAGTTATAGCCTTTTTTTATGAAAAAATTCCATACTGTAATCTACAGTCTCTATTGCTGATTGGTAGATTTTCCAAACTTCTCTCTAATTTATTTTTTTTAAATAGTTATTCACGTATTGATTTTTAGGTAGACATATATAACGTGAAAGATTTTTATTTGTCTGATATGCCAGATATTTTCAAGTTCTTGTCAATAGATTAGATTTGAGACTTAATATAGCTAAAGAGTTTCAGGTACTGTGTTCAGCTGTCACTGGTGTACTTTGAAATTATCCTTTTATTATACTCATTATAATAATGCACACTAAACGGAGCTTTTTTGGTTTATAATTTTACTTGGAGACAGACAATGGGATTACTTTTTTAAGCAGCCTATTGAAATGTTTGTTTTCTTTGCACATCTTTTTACTGTCATGAAAGTAATTTCATTCGTGCTTTGGTATAGAGTAAAAAAATTAATGTCTTCTAAACTTCAGTTCTCTCTAAAATTTTCCACTCCTCTAGTACCTGAATACAAGAGGATTTCCCTTCAAGGGGTTTTGTTTATGTTTTTGTTTTGCTTTTTGGACTTTATTTAATTCTTCAGTCAAGATCAGCTGTTAGAGAATTGGGGGAACTTTCAAAATACGAGCCATTTCCTGGCATTGTCGGGAGCCTCAGCATTGTGGACTTCCATCTCCTTCCTGTCTTTTGTTTTGGGTTGATAATGTTGTCTTTAAATAAATTCAAATAAAAATAGATGTAATGGAGCTGGAAATAGAAACTAGAATCCTTAAGTCAATGCCTTTACTGTCTGTGTCTTGTGTGCCAGTAATAATAAAACAACTTTATCCCAGAGGATACCAGACAGTTTACAGCCTGCACTTCTAATCCTGTCACCTTTCCCTTGCAAGCAAGGAAGTCCCTAGGAGTACTCCTTCAAGGAAGTGATATAGGTATCTCGCTGCTGCAGCAGCAAGGAGCAAGAGCACAAATCGTAAGAGGAATTTCTCTTTAGCTGAAGATGCTGGATCATACTATTCTCAGACGTTCACAGAATTTTTTAGTTAGGCATGCTTAATGGGTTTAAAGCTATATGAAASTGGTCTAAATGCACTGAAGTTGCTAGGGTTCTATTAATCTGCATCCGAATGACACCAATTGCATAGGCTATGCTTCATATTTGACCAAGCATATCATTGCTACCACGTTTGTGCATTATAGTAGTGCCCTAAAGGTCTTGGCTAGGAGTTGAATCTCCTTGTCCAGAAACCTTTGGGAGTGGGAGAATGTCTTTTAAGAATGCAATGAAAAGCAAAAAGCAACACACAATAGGAAGGATATAGGGCAAGGTACAAAGGTGAATATCAACAAAAGCAAGCACTTATAGACTACTATTGATACAAATTTTTGACCTCAAAATAAAACAAAAGGTTATTTTATGGTTCTGAAAGGATTATTTGAGTGTATAGTGGTAGAATACCAAAGAAGAATCCTGGAAGGGAACTTTTCCATTGGGATCTTGTGGTAGACTTTGATCTGTGAGAAAAACCATCAGCAGAGGTGAGAGATGAAGGCGGGTGGGGCAGGTCAGAAAGCTGAATTCCAAGGAATCTTGGCACTGCATTGCACTTTGCATGTATAGTATGATGAAGAGGGAAATGTAGATGTGCCTTGTAGGTTCCTGGACTGGGCCACTTTCTTTCTTTTAACATAGACAATGCTGAGATTTGCATGTATGCAATGATGCTGTTCACTCAGAGTGACTGGCATCACATCTGGTAACATGACAGAGCATCCTTCTTATGTGTGTCGCAATGTGAACATTAAGGCATTACAAGCTGCATTTAACAACTGCATTTCCATTATTCTTTTCAAATAGGCACAGAATTCCTCCTTCAAGTCCCTGGTTCTTCACAGTATTAGTAGAAGACAGTGCAACAGCAACCATTTGAGCAACGACGTGTCTGCACAAACTGCTAAGGGCAAGTCACTGGCGTATGGGCTGTAGCACCTGACTATATGATATTTTACAGATGGAAGAGGTAAACAAAACCAAAAAACAACTCCCAACCCTCCAAAGCCTAGATTTYATTCTGCTGCATCCAAGATTTGCTTTTTTCTTCAGAGGTTTCCATGTTCAGGACTGTGGTAGTTGATAAAGCCCTGAAAATTTAATTGTTCAGAAGTGTTATCTATAAAATCCTTATAAAAGGGATTATTAAAAGAATTTTAYAATATCCTTAAAAAATCCTTATAAAGGGTTATAAAATCCTGATAAGATTGGTTGTGGGTGGAATGAATCTAGCATAAAAGAAAACAAGGGCCCCAAAGRTAAAATGACTTGTTATTTCACTTTATTTATTTCCTTTCTAATCCAATGAAAAGAGAAAAAGATAACAACTCTGGCTTACTGTCTTTTGAGTACTATAGAGAAATTAGCTTTAATAGCCCAGGCCGACTGGAAAATGAGACTCTTTTTCAGGTCTGCGCTTGGGGGTTGAATCAAAGCTTATATTCTGCTTCCTGCTATGCACGTGGGAATGCTTTGCTGCCTTGGATTAACCCCGTTGTGATCTGAGATGGGAGAATTGCAAAGTGCCCGTCCTAAGCGAACGCTTGCAAGAATTTGCTTTCAATGTAGCTGAGAAATCTGCCTATGATGTTCAATCATCTTCAACATGCAGAAACCTCTCTAATGTATCTGCTATTCAGCAGGCTTCTTAAGGTGGTATTTGGGAATTTGTCCCACAGTAAAGTTTTTAAAGTTTAGTATATGTTATTTCAATTAAAATAAGATAATTAACTATGGCAGTAATACAAAGATTTATGGAAAAATTATCTCAATTATTTTAATGACCTCTTAGAAGAATGAGTATTGTATTTGTATATGACTTTGAGAAATGTTGAGCTTTGCTTCGGGGTTCACAATTCAMAAAATGTTTTATGCTAATTTTCCTCGTGCATTAAACCTAAAGTAAGGAATTGCTTTTGGGTGGGGAGTTTAAACTGTGATCTCTAATATATATAGTGCCTTTTAAAGCATGATTATTAGGACAGTAATTGCTGTAGGAAGAGAATTGAAAATGAAGCTCTTTGTTTCTGGAAACTATGTACGTATAACATAAATGAGTCAAACTTAAGACATGCCATCTGATTATAACTGAAGGGGTGGGAGGGTCAAGTCAAAGTGTTTGTGCTTTGAACTAGTTAGATACAAGTGCAGAGCTAACTGGCAGAGCCCTGTTCAGAGGAATAGGGTGACCCGAACAGAACAGGAAATACTCCCAACATCCTAAATATAGACATTAACATATAATAATTAAGTTCAGTGTCCTCTGGGGAGTGCTTGGATTAAAGGATACCCCAGAAGCAGAAGGCAAGGGGAGGGGGGAAAAAGTGATGATTGTAAGTGGGAACTTCTGAGAGATCATTTAATGAAAGAGTTAAATATCTGGTTCTGGAAGCTGAAGCTTGTTAGAAAATAGCATGAAATATGTGACATGTAATTTGGGAATGGGGAGGACATTGAGTACCAAGTTGCCATTAGTGCTAAATAACAAACTTGTACATGAATTGAAAATAAGAAGCTTCCTATAGAGAATCAGACCGTTTATGGTGAGAGAGCAATTAAGGAAAATATGTATTTGCAAAATCAGTCTCAGAGTGACACTTTTGTGAGAGATTGATTCATCAGTTTGATTCATAAATCAGGAAAGGTTCTTTTTTTTTTTTTTTTTAATTCAGCTGATGCAAGCAAAATGGCCTGTTTGTATCACAGTTTGGTAAGATTTTTTTGCTCTCCTATTTATTGGACTTGATTTGTGACACTTTCAGAGAGCAGCAATATAACATTTAGAATTTATGATACTGATGATAGAAGAGTGTGTGTGTGTGAATAAGGAAGTCACCTCACGCAGCTCGTATACAATTCATGTATAATGTTTGTGCCTGAACTATTGGCTGACCAGATTGTCTGGAGCTCAGCTGTGCCAGGGCTGGCCTTTCCTGCCATGGCCAGGGAGGAGTAGCATGGAGCTGCTGCCCACATTATTCAATATCAGGCGCTCCTGGATCTCTTCCTTTCCCCCACTACCTCACATAACTTGCAATACTTGAGTAAATGAAGATTTTGGTATGAATTTTATACGGTTGGAAATTTGGTCTGCTTTTCCAGGATGCTGTTATTTCGGTCACTGTATTTCTGGCTGCTTCTTTTCAATCTTCCAGACTCAGAATGTTTTAAAACTGTTTAAGCGAAGCCCTTGGATTCTGCTCAAAGGTGATTTTTTTGAAAAGTCTGAGCAAAAAGATTTCATCCATGTGTGAGTATGAGGAGACTGGAAAACAATTTTTCCTCCTCCATAAGACTTCTCGCTGCCTTATTCTGAACAGCTCAGCAGTGTGACTGGCTGAAGCTGTATGCTGAAATTTGGCATTGAAATAGCCCTGACTATGAAGTGTCTTAGAGTTTTGCCTTTGATTTGACTGAGTTACGAGCCTCAGAAAATCACATACTGAGAATGCAGTTTAAGATGAATTTTTGGGGAATTTTCTTCCTGCAAAGCTTGTAAAGAGTGCAGTCAAGAGAGGATTTACTGTGAATGAACACCTGAGTATTTGTACAGTAAAAAATAATGAAATGTGCTGCTTGGAAGCAGAAGAGACATGGGTCTGGAGAAGGAGCTGAAAACCTTATAAAGTGCTTATGATGTGAAGAAGTTTCTGTGCATTTCATAGAATTTGTGACTGAGAATAAAGTGCCTAAAGTGCCTGCTATCCCCGCTCCTGAAGAGCAGTGAAAATMAGAGTTAGATTTCTGCAGACTTAGTGAAGGACAATCTTTAGAGCAGGACTTTGAGACACATTGTTAGTACTTACACTCTGACAGTCCTTCTGGGTCAAAGGTTCAGGGGATTTGAAATAAAATACGCTCTTTCTTCCCCATAGGATGGTGTGAATGGTGCAGTTTATCTGTGCTGTGTCCATGGCTTTGGAGGYAGCATTGCTTTGAATTCTTATCAAGTGAAATTCTGTGAGCACTTGCAGTTATTGAATGAAATAGGCTACCTACATCTGTTTTAAGGTTAGTAAAACAAAAACCCTAAATCCCATATCCTATTGGGCAGGATGGTGTGTGAAACCGTGCGTGCTTATCTAATTGCAATCACATGTGAAATGAAAGGTCAAGGGAAGGCTGGATTGGTGTCCTTAACTGCTTTTTTTTTTTTTTTTTTTTTTTTTTTT